TTCATTCATCAGCTTGAAAAAATTGTTCTGAAAGTGATCCCAATGATATTGTTCCTATATATCGTTATAGTTTTACAGTAGACATGGTGCAAACTCTACTATTCTCTTAAATTTAGAACAATGTTTAGAACTTTATCTTTATTCATATACAGTGGGGAAAAAAAGTATTTAGTCAGCCACCAATTGTGCAAGTTCTCCCACTTAAAAAGATGAGAGAGGCCTGTAATTTTCATCATAGGTATACCTCAACTATGAGAGACAAAATGAGAAAAAAAATCCAGAAAATCACATTGTAGGATTTTTAAAGAATTTATTTGCAAATTATGGTCGAAAATAAGTATTTGGTCAATAACAAAATTTAATCTCAATACTTTGTTATATACACTTTGTTGGCAATGACAGAGGTCAAAGTTCTTGGTGTGAAGGGGCCATAAAAGAGGGCAGCTTGACCCTATGTCCTGGGCATCGATCATTGATCGGGGGGGCCTGTACTGGCCTGGAAAATTATTAAACTGAGTGAAACTAGTGTAGCAAACTGAGAAGGTGAGTGGGAGCATATTCAGCTGTTTTCCACCTAAAACTCTTTAACTTCACATTAACCTAGTTGCTGCCCCGCTGGCTTCAATGTTTGCACTTTGAATAATGGTGAATTTTTGAGAGGTCACGGTTGTGTTGGTGGCATTACACTCACGAACGCTTCCAAAATTTGAGACAACACAAAATGGGGTTTGCTGAAGCAATGTCCTGTAAGTCAACACGGAATCTAAATGGACACTATTTACTTTTTAATGCACATTCTTGGTCATATTGTGCATGATTCACTGGTGCACATTATTCATAGTAAAAAATGTTTGCCTTTGTAAACTTCTATCAAAATGTAATAACATGCTCGTCTGCCTCTGAATCTGAAACGACTTTCCTTTTCAGATGATACTATGAATCCCTCTTACTTTCAATCATATGCACACATTTAATGATCCAGCCAATGAATAAAATCAATTCCCATCTGAAAACGGTGCGGTTTGTGAACACTGTTTCACGTTCACATTAATAGCAGACACATGCTTCGACAGGCCATGATCTTTTCCACAAACTATCCATGAATCCAATCAAATAAAAATGTTTGACCATTGGGCAAATACATTGTGGACACTTCAAACAATTACAGTAATTAACATGCGGGGCTGCATCTTCTTGTTTAAACTGATTGTACAATGAACCACATAAGCATTCAGTGTTTGTCCCAATCAATGTCTGTTTCTATCTATCTATCTATCTGTCTATCTATCTATCTATCTGTCTGTCTGTCTGTCTGTCTGTCTATCTATCTATCTGTCTGTCTGTCTGTCTGTCTGTCTGTCTGTCTGTCTACCTATCTATCTGTCTGTCTATCTAATGCAAGTTTAATATCTGTATCTATTCTACTCTAACTTTATATTTATTGCTGCGAGTCTCTTGTTCTAGATACATAAATATAGCATTCCATCAGCAGATCCACATGGACATGATAAAAAACTTTATTATTCATCATTCCTCTAATTAAGAGAGTTCGTTAACTCACTCTCTGGCCCCAGGGGGGTTTATTTCGCTGATGAACACATAAGTAGTACGCAACGGAAATGCCAATTAACCCCATTTACGCTTCCAGACACTCTACACCTGCATAAAGACAGACTGCAATAAAAATACCTCGACTGAGAGATTCCTCATATTACCAGAAAGATACACCATCCAAACGCAAATGTGAGTAAAGAAATCACTCTCATGCACACATATATGCATAAAATGTGCAGTAGCCTAAACATACTGGGCGAAATGGATTCAAACACAGTCATTTAACACTGAAAACCTAAATGGAGCTGTAAAGGTGAGTCACATACTAGGCTGGTTGTCACTCTGCAGTATGTGTCAGCTATAAAGAAGATCTGACTGTTACCTGTTTGATATGTGAGCCTTTAAAGCAATACCAGGCACATAACATAGTGCCAGCGAGGCTGAATAACCTAAGCTTAAATTACAGGTGCATCAGTCACAAAGCTATCAAATGACTTAAAATGTCAAGGAGAACATCTCAGAAATAACAATATGCCAGACATGCACCAACGGCATCAGTGAAATGGAATAGCGGCTGAAAGTTGACACTTACTGACAGAGACAGCCTTCACAGCATAATTGCTAAATGCCACAAAAGTACAGCTTAAATAAAACTCGCAGAATTGAATCGGCACCTCTTTGACCCAGAAGAATATACAAAGCTATGCTTCACAAAGGAGGGTTTTACAAAGCTGCAACTCAAGAAAATGTGTGTGAAGCCAGTATATGAGGAGCACAAAACCTACAAATGTAATATGGCGTGATGAGTGACCTTTCACCCTATTACCTACATCCAGACAGGCTTATGTTGGAGAAAACCAAACCCACTTGGTTGTGGATCTCTAATTGTATGAGACACTAGATCTTATGAAGGTCATTAGGTCTCATGATTCAACAGGACTGTTGTATAACAGCCCAGGAATAGTAGATTGTACAGGACCATCAGTGCTGCAGACATCTTTCCCTCTTTATTTTCCAACTCGTCTTGAAGTTGACACATCGTTTCCACCTTCATTACTCAAAGAATTACCCTCTTAAATAGTGCAATTTCACACTGCACACAGTTCAGTACGTGTGAAACAGCCATCCAAGAAGAAATTAAGCTGTTGCCAAGCCAAAGAATGGTCCTGGCCTTTATAAGGACCTTGATGTTTCTGTTACATAGCCCTAAACAAATCACTTCACAATATACGAATGATTCATTAAATATAAGTGTATTCAACTACTTGCGAGAATACATACAAAAATTAAACAAAACTCCACTCTTAAAAATAAAGGTTCCAAAAGGATGTTTTAATTTTTATTTACTGTATTTATTCATTCATTTTTTCTCAGGGATGCCATTTATTCAAATAACCTTTCAATGAACATTCTAAAAGAACCATTTCCCCCCCTATAAAGAACCTTTTGTGGAATGGAAATGTTCCATGGATGTTAAAGGTTCTTTATGGAACCATCAACGCCAATAAAGAATCTTTATTTTAAACAGTGTGGCATTTAAATTCAGAATTGCCCACCTAAACAACACTGTAAAAATGTTTTGTAAAAATGTTATGCTGAAGATGTGCCTCGTGTTGTAATATCTAAATCAACTGGTCTAATCAAGCCAAAAAATATGATTTAATATGATTAAATATTTAGTCGCAACAATAAACTTAATTTTAAAGCTCAGATCAAGGTAAAAAAATTTATTTAGGTAACAACTGCACATTGTCACTCTTTACAATGCATAAAACACAGACTGCATAACATACATTTCAATCAAATATTCAACAACTCTAGCACAATACCCCAGATTCTGTTTCACGTCAGTATTCACAACAAAAACAACAATCAAAACCACTCAACCGCCACCCTCTCCTCTTCATCTGCCTCTCTCTTTCCTCAGCCATTTTTTTACAGGGTTCCTTCTGCAGGACCCTCAACACTGCACAATTTGGATGTCTCCTTTATTTTACACACTCATTTCACTTCATAGAGCATTTTACAGATGAACCGATCAATGAGAACCGGCATTTTATCCAAACCGTGTAGTTTTGAGGCCCTCCAAGACCTGGATCAAGAAATACTGAGCTATGTAAGTGCTTCTCAACCCTGTTCCTGAAAAATACACATTTTCGGTGGCTTTCATGTCTCCCGTATCCTAATCTCAACCTAACAAATTCAGCAAGGAAGGTTGATTCATTACATTGTCATTTTATGGACTACACAATTTGCGTTTCCTAATTTTATGTTGTTAAATTATAATAATGTTAATACACCAACATATTTAAGCTGCAAAACTACTGCAAAATGTACTGATTGCAACACAGCTGAAACAATGGAAGCCCACATGATCACCCACACTGTAAAAAAGTTTTTTTTAAGTTGTTAACACTCATTGGAGTGTGTTTTACAAGAAAATACTATTTCAGTTTTTATACTTCCAAATTTCATTCATTTAATTCAACGTGTTACTTTCCCGATACTTTGTAATTATTTGTGACATGTACTATTAATTACTATTAAATAAACATCATAAATATTTAAATAATACCAATAATTAAAACAAAATAAAAATACATTTTTGATGGATCACACAGGGAATTAATTTTTTTTCAAATATTTCACTGTAAAATAAAATATGCACGATGTCTTAAATACAAATTTGAAAAATCTCTTTAAATCACAAGGTAATTAAGACGTATTAAGACTCATTAATACACTTTTACAATATTTTACAGCGGAAAAAATGAATGTCCACGCCAAATACTTAAAGGAGTTAGTACATAAAAATGACTTTGGTGCATGAGACCCAAAAAACAATACCAAAGTTCAACAAGGAGAAGAGCTTGCACGCATAATAGTAGCAGATTTCTTACAAAAAAAATTATTTATAGACCAAAAATGTGGAAAAGAAAAGCGCAAAGAGCTCATTTTCAATTCACATCATCATCAGTTTTTTTTTTTCCTAACAGTACATTTATATGTATTGTCTTTTAAATACGCCATTTATTTGCAGAATATAATAAGGTAACTTAAAAAAAAAATATTGTTCTCATTTTAGGTCTTGGAGCGTGCATCCAAAATGTGCAGTACTGGGGCTCGTCCAGGACCCGGATCGAGAAGCACTGCTCTACATCAGCACCGCGGACAGCGACCATTCAAACACAAGACCGAGAATACAAGCGCTCAAAAACACTCCGGGTCAACCTGCCTCTCCACTACGCTGCAGGGCCCATTGAAACGATGTTTGAGTGGGATTTCTACACTACAGCAGCTGAGCTGGTGTTTCTGAGCACAGCGTCTGTGTGGTGCCTCAAAACTGCCAAGAAACCTCATGATGACACATTCAATTAAATTGTTTCACTGTAAAGTAGATGAGACCCCCGACGAGAACAATTACTGCACACAATTATATTACTTACTGCGTCGTGCAGGCTCTTTTGGGAACGGTCTGTGGAGATGGTCCTTGAGGGATGCTCGATATAGCCAGCGTGTGCGTGCTAGTAAGACGGCAGGTAAATAAATACGCTCTTTTAATTGCTCGCGCTAGGCGTTCACTACGCACAGCTTCGTATTAAACTTCATCCGCCTGCGCGTGAAATTGCTCTTGTACGATTAATATTGCGTGCGTCGCTTGTGTGCGAGATTACAATTGCTTTTCAATATTCGTGTGATCAAATAACAGTCGAATGTTTTAAAACGAACAAACAATAATAGTAATTAGAGAACCAGACATACAGTTGTGCTTCGCGTAAATGTATTGCTCGATTACAACGAGAGACAACAAAATCAAGAAAGCGTACACGCAAAAAAAGAAGCTGTGTTAGACGCAAACGTTCACACTGTTGTTTACAAACGTCCGACGGACTGTCGTTTTTCGCTAATCGTGCGAACATCAGACGCTAGCGTACTTGCCATGATTCCGTCGCCTAAAAGACTTGCAGGTAAAAAATAAATACCAAATATCGATGGAAATTAAACGGCTCATGAGAGTATCCTCTGTGGAAGCCAGTCAGGACTGAATATATATGATGTAATACCGGCAAAAAAGAAAGTCGGTAGCTGCACACGGACGACGGACGACGACGGCTCGCGGAGCCTCCCTCTGCTTCCTCGCGCTCTCGGTAACGTTACTGTCCCTCGCTCGCTCGCGACGTCACAGGGCAGTGCGCCCTCGCTCATCTGCAGTCTGTAGTGTGCAGTCCGCTCACTGCATGAAGACACCGCCGGTGAATAGAGTGGGAATGAAAGCGCTCATTGGCTGACGGAAAGACAGATGGTGCGCTCATATCCCAGATAAATAGTGCAGACCTCCTCCCTGCGCAGGGTGCATGAGCCAATGGATCTCCTCTTCTAGTGAAGTGTCACTTTGATGTATGTAGTCATTCTGTCACTGTATTATACTTATCGGTCGACTGGAGCATCTTGATTCTTTTGTGAGGAACGAAGCTGATTTCCTGGCTTAGTCTTTTGGCTGGTTTTATAGCCCTTTTTTAGCTGGTAGACCAGTTGAACACCATGGCTTGTCCAGGTCAGGAGACCATAAACCAGTTATGACTAGCAAACCGTCTTAGGCTGGCTTAAGCTGCACTGTAAAAAAAAAAAAGTCTGTAGTTTTTACAAAATCATTTTGGCAGCTGTGGTTGCCAGAATAATTTAGTAGAAAATACAGAAAAAACTGTTAACACATTTACGGCCAAACCCTGTACATTTTACAGTATAAAACTGTAATTTACAAACAAGAAAATTTGAATGTAAACCAGTAAATTCAGCAATGCACACTGCTATTAAAATCTGTTTTGTACCTTTAACATACTGACAACCACCATAATAATGCAGGTGGTAAAAGAGAAAGCCACATGAAGAATCAAAGCTCATCACAAGTAGCTTCACCACAAGCAGAAGTATATACTAATATATAGAAGGTGCACAGAGTCATTCATGCAAACACAAAACACCATCATGGTAACACACATGATACATAAATAATGCATTCAACTTTCATTAAACAACAGAAGATGTAACAAAGCACAAATATACATAACTAATAACAAAAACTATTTAAAAAACATGATTATTTAAACAAAATACTTTCAAATGTGGAGTGTCATTTAGGGAATTCTGGGAATATCAGTTTACAGTTTTTGACTGTAAATTATACATTGATTTGTTCTTTTTACTTCTAAAAACTGTAAATTTTTACTGCATTTTACTGTAAAATTACAAGAAATATCCAGTTAGATATTTTACAGTTTGTCCCTGTATATAGTACGGGAACTTACTGTTAATCTATTAACAGTTTTTTTCCCATAGCGTTTTTACAAAATTTTACAGTTCAAATTACACTTATTTTTTACAGTGTGGGTTGGTGCTTCAATTGTTACTTTCTAGATGACTACTCATTCTTCCAGTGCCTTCAAGGCGGCATTGTATTCCCTATACTGGAAAAAGCAGCTCAAGCTGGTATTAACTGCAAGCAGTAATAAATAACAACTTATGTGCTGCTTAATAGCTTATTTAAAATATAATTTACAAATTCACTCATTGACTTTTTATTTTGTTAAATACCATCACATTTGATGTGTTCTGGCCCTTACCTCTTGCTCCAAATTTTTAGCCTCCACTTTTGATGCAGTCTATGAACAAATAGAAGAGATTTTACCACAAATATATTTTCTTTGCACTCAATAATTTGACATTTGAGGATATATATTAAATTACTTTATTTCAAATATCTATATATTTTGGCAGCTGTGTCGTAGATGAGTGCACACATTCACTCAAGCAATGAACTTCTACAAATTTACCATCTACAAATCCACAGATTCATTAGCCAATTATTAAGATAAATATATTTATTATTAAATTTTGCAGATACTTCTGGTTGCAAGACTTGTCCAAAATCTGTTGTATTTGGCTTAAAGTTGATTTTGAAGCATTCTGTTTTACTTCTGCTGCTGCATGATTTTAAAGCTCAAACTGTTTTATTAAATCTAGTGAATACATTTATTAAAATTATATATATATTTCAGCGTGTGAGTGTGTGTGTGTGTGTGCATGTTTATGTGGTTTATGAGGACACAAATTTGTATAATATCATGGGTATGACATAGGTATTACAACGAGAAGGTGATTTATGAGGACATTGTCAGTGTCCCCGTAATTCAAAAGGCTTATAAATAATTCAGAATGAGTTTTTTTGAAAATCTAAAAATGCAGAAAGTTTCCTGTAAGGGGTAGGTTTAGGGGTAGGGTTGGTGTAGGGCAATAGAATATACGGTTTGTACAGTATAAAAACCATTACGCCTATGGAGAGTCCCCATAAACCATAAAAACAAACCTGTGTGTGTGTGTGTGTGTATATACTATATATATATATATATATAATATACACACACACACACACATTTTGGTGTAGAAATCATTTTTATTCAGAAATTATAAATTTCACACACAATTACAAAGAAACAAGCAGCAACACATTGAATTAAATATTAAATTTTGAAGTAGAAAAACAATATACAATTATACAGTGAATTATACAATTGATTATTTCTGCCAAAGCTGTGTTATGTGACAACAGCAAAGCATCAGAACCAAAGCCTATAAACCTAAGCTTACCTACAACTAAAGCTGTTCAGTTTGTTGTCCTATTACCCAGTTGGAGATTAGCATTTTTGAGCCATGGATTCTCTAAGGAATTGTCAGTGGGTTTTGGGAATGGCAATTTACAGTTTATAAATACAATTAGGGCTGTGGCCTATATTGTTTTGAAGAGATGTTTTGTTCTACAACATAAATTCCATATTAGGATAAAGAAGATACTGTTTTCTTAAACCAAGGCTTTTTGCAGCAAATGCTTCAAAATAAAATAAAAAAAGAAACTAATTCAAAGTCTGTTCACACACCTTTTTTAAATTTTTTTTTACTTATAATCCTAAAACTATTCTTAAAAACTGATAAGAAATTCCCAAGGGAACCAGTGGTGAATTAGCCTTCCGGATCGGCCTACAAATCGACGTAATGACCGAACAGCTATGCTCTTTTTGTATTTCCTTGAAGAAATAAAAAGTTAGTTCCCAGTTTCTTGTTTCCAGCTTGGGAATGGAAGAGTTCCTCTGTGAGAGTGCTGCTCTAAATCCTGTGTCTCTGTTCTTGGCAGTGGAAGCTGAGAGGATGAGTCATGCTGGTTGAAAATGATATCTCACTATTTGATGAGAGCAGCATTTATCATGTGAGTGAGGGTGCAGGCACACATTTCATTATAGACCTAGTCCATTAGGATGTCAACACCTCAGCAGTCTCTTTCCCATGCACAAAGTCAATAATGACCTTTAAAACTTTCTGATTTGCTGAGAAGAAATGCGATGCAATTTTCATGTTTGCAACCACCGGTGGTGCAGCAGAGTAATCAAATTGATGGCCATACAAAAAGCCAAACCACTGCCAGTCTGCCACATCTCATTTCATCAGAGGATCACTCTCAAACTCTTCTGAGTATTAGTTCTGTGCTCTCCCATTAGACGGAGGGGAAATTGAACAGTGTGCAGTGGGCTGCAGTAATTACTCATACAGATGTTGTCATACTCATGACAATAGATTGTGCTTGCTGAGCACAAACAGAGGAGTACAGTAGGATAGGGAGCACTTAATTATTCCCCGCTGCAAATGTTTTTGTGCAGCCACTTTCAAGGAGCTCTCATTTACATATACAATGGCATGTGGTGGAGGCAAATCATTTACATCAGTCCAGAAGCACTATAGTTTCACTGTAGGGGATGTGCATTCACACAAGAGGTGCTGTTTCCACACACCAGTCAGGCCTATTACCATTCATTTGGAAGAGCCAAATGTATCTCTCTGTGCAGTATTGGTTTACGTGGCTATGAATAATTTGAAGTATTAATTTGAAGCAATTATTATTAGTGGTGCTTGCTGTAACAAGCTTAACTAATCCTGTACCATATGTGCTACAGATATGAATCATATCTCTTGTTGTGTGCTATTACTTTTCTAAGTGGTTAGATTTATACAATTTTGACCGGTGGATAATAAAATGGGGTGTGGGGTTGAGGGGAAAACTGATTTACAGATTTACACTGGAAAAGTCATATCTGGGGACAAGAATAACATTCAGAATGTTAAAAATCTAACAATAATCTAACCTAATCCAACAGTTGTAAATGATATATATATATATATATATATATATATATATATATA